GGATTACCATATGCCCCAGCCATCCCACTCCTGGGAATTTACTCCAAAGAAATGAAATCTGCATATGAAAAAGTTATATGTACCCTCATGTTTACTGAAACTCATTTTATGATAGCTAAGATTTGGTATTAACACAAATGTTCAAAAAGCAATGTCTGGAAAAAGAAAAGGTGGTGTGTGTATATATATATATATATATATATATGCTATGGAATAATACTCAGCCATAAAAAAGAATGAAATCTTGTCATTCACAACAAAATGTATGCAACTGGAATCTATTACATTTAGTGAAAAAAAGTCAGTCCAAAATACAAATATTCTGCTTTCCCTGATCCGTGGTAACTAAATAGTGGACGAAAAATATAATATATAATGTATATGTGTAAAATTGACATTTTTGAGATCTGATTATTGCTTACAGCCCTTGTCTCCACTGTTGGGTGACAGTTTTTTTTTTTTCTTCTTCTCACTATCTGTTGAATTCTTCATTTAGTGGAGGGATAAGCTTCTGACTGTAAAATAAACTGCAAGAATTTCATTGTAAAAATTAAAAGACAAAGTAAGAAAGGAAGGAAAAAGGAAGGTGGGAGCAAGGGTATTATGGGAAGTATCACCATATTCCTAAATCTATATAATACATGGAATCTATTAACCTTATAAACATAAAAAAGTAAAAGTTCTCTCTATATCCTACGTTAAACAACAAAACTGTGAGATGAACATCTTAGTCATATACTTTGTAAGATGGGACACCTCACATGAACAGGATCTAAAATTATTCAAGAATACTCATGGAAAACATCATCACACTTGCTGCACACCATTTTCATGCCCTGTACCAGTTATATGACCACAGAGATGGGTTCAAAAAGGGTCCTGAACCCAAAGGGTTCTACCAGGTGAAACATCAAACAACCAGCAAAAATGTGTTTTTTTAAAGACTACATGTTGCCCCTAAAATACATTTTTAAATATGATCTTTTTCTAGTTATCAAAAATACCAAATGAAAAGCTCCTTTTATCAAAATCCAGGGGATTCAAATTAACAACTTTGGGGAATAAAATACCAAGGAAATAATGATGAACTTTCATGGTTCTCATGACTCACTTTCAGCAGGCTTTTAAAAGATGACATTTATGATCCTTGTCCTCTTTTCCAGCAGGAAAGTAAGAAAACATACAGGTCTAATGGGACCAAATGTATGACAAATGCCTCTTATTCATGGATTCACATTACACAAGCATTTGCCGGATCAGAATCACAAGGGCATATGTTTAGGGAGATAGAAGCAGTTAGATGCTGTTGGCTAGGGTAGGCTTATCAAACCCAAGGATTGTGAGTGATTTGCTATTTTACAAGCATACAGTATGTGCCACGGAAGTTGGTAGAACAGAGACAAACTGTAGTAGGGAGTGAGGGAGGCAGGATGCAGACAAATGGTAGGTGAAAATCAAAAACAAGGTAATGAAGAACAATAGGCTTGGGTCTTGAAGGCGGAAGTCATGGCCCAAGAAACAAGGTGTTTTAAGACACAGAGAACAGAATAGTGGAGGTAATGAAATAATAACATATATGGCAATATCAAGAACTGCCCAGGAAGAGCAAGAAGGCACGAAGAATAAGGTCAATTGACTACTGAGCTTGCAAAATTTAGAAACACATATATGTGAATCTATGTTCTGTCTTCTCTAGACCCTTTTGGTCAGTGTTGTGTATTTGAGAAATGACTCCATGAAACTAAAAATCTAAGATGGTGCCTCCGAAGTCTTGTGAAGGGAAACCTACCCAGAGGAAAGACAAACTTGCTTCTCTATAAACACTGCCAATAATTTACAAAACTAATCTGCTCTTGGTGCCTAGGACATCCATGGTTGGGAGTATTCACAGTCTGTAACTTTCTTGGATTAGCCTGAAATCAAGAACCATCACAATTTTACATTATTTTCATTCCAGAGTGGATGAATACGGGTAATAGAAATAACACAGTTAGCATACTGATATGCAAAGGAGCTTAAATATATAGTGAATTAATAAGATCTTAGTGTAAAATAGTTTGACTGCTTTACTTACATTTTAACATTTACACACAGTTTTCATTTCATTATTGGAAGATTATCTTTTCTGAAGGGAGTAAAAGGTTATTAAAACCTATTAAATTTTAGAAACCAAACATGTTAAGCAAATACATCCTAAAGAGATGATAATCTTTTCTAACAGCTAGAATTTAGGTCTTAAAATAGGAACAAAAAATGAGTATGGATGAAGTACTCTCCTTATAAAATGACAGATGACTTGCAATTTTTAAATCATTTCATGAATACTCTTATTTTGAAGGGTCCATCTCATATCTACTATAATTAGAATCATTGATTTCAATGTAGTTTTTCTTCCTGCTCTATAACCTTGACAGCTGGAAACACTCAAAGATTAAAAACACCTCATTTAAAATACATCACAGATTGGTTCACAGTGGATAGCTCATTCTCTACTTACCTTTCAGCTTTTGGTTAGGTAAAATATTCTAGTTTTAGAAGAATAAGAAAGGATTTGTCATATAAAGAATGAAACCTTACTCATTAGTTACAATGATGTAGAATCTGTAGCTCTGATTTCTTGGCAAGAATTATGACTTTCTCCCACTTTCAGAAATTTGAAAACCCATTGGTCAACTTACAAAATATCACCAAGCTTCTAATAATAATGTTGTTTTACATTGCAAACAAAGCCTAACTCTTGTCTATAGAAACTACTCATGAACAAATAAATAGAGAGTATATACAAATAAATTAAGGTTAAAGTTGACACTGTACCCTGGTCTTGGAAAACTAACGAATCATCTCTAAGTTTAAATATAAAACACTAAATGGAAGGAAAATCTATTGATTAACATCAATAAAGTCATAGTTCCAAAAGCAGCTGTTGGTAACATAAACCCATCATTGGTAGTCTACAGTGCCCCTGGCATGCCTTTCAGGACACAGATTGTTGCCAGAGGAAAAACAATGATAAGCCATGTCCTGGCAGGGGAGCCAATTGCTGTCAGGTGAGGCAAAACTGCAGGATGCTCCTGGCATTGATAGAGAGTACCAAGTGTTATAACTGAAAATTAATGAGTGAATATTACAAAGAACTGTTGAAGCTGTTGGCTCACGTATAACCTCATAGTACCTAATTTGTCTTTGTAGGATATTTGTCATTCTTTTTTCACTTTCTTTTAATACATCCACATCACTTGATACAAACTTTTAGGGGAGTTCATTTCTACTTAAAATTATCAGTAAATTCAAGAACAGCTTTAATGCTTACCTTTAAGAACATCAGATATGCCTTTAAACTAGAATACCTGCATTTGAGTGTTTACTTTCAACCTTAATTGATCTACAGTTACAGATTTCTAAAAATATGATCATGCAAGAGAAAAATCCTGCTGAGGAAACAAGTATGTTCTGGAAAAAAACAAATGATAAAAATGGGCTCAAGAATCAACTGAAAATATCCTCTGTCTCTGATTTACTACATATTCGTTCTTTATTCTGTTCATTTTCTCTGTGGCTTTTAGAAGCTTTTTGTCTATAATTTTTGTTTTAAATCTGAAGCACAATTGATTCTGAAAGTCGCATTTAGAAGAAAGGAAACAACTTTTTGATCTTTGTAAATTAAGAGGGAATTTGGAAAGACAGCCTTGTATGTCCATATGTGTGCATGTGTGCCTCTGTCATGGAAACAGTAATATGTGATGGATTCTAGTTTCCTTGGAAACAGCATGGCCACAGCACATTGTGTATTCATAGTAAGAGTCAGATCTATTTAGAAACATAAGTATGGTACTAAGTATATTTTCCAGTAAGAAATTCAAGATAATTTGGCCTGTGGGAAGCCTGGCTATATTCACAAATTCTGAGTTTTTCAGACCAGTTCTATTTATGCTTTGCCGAAAAGAAGGGAGCCATTTACATTCATTTCACATGCCTCCACTCATTCATGAACATCCGTGGACATATTCTGGGCCAATGCTGTGCCTGTGGACCCAAGCAATACTCCAAGGAGCTACTGTGTTCCCTATGAGGGGGCAGACTAAAATGGTAGGAAGGGCACAATTAAGAAGCAAGGAGATCTTCTCTCCCCATGCTTGAGAAATAAGCAGGTTTCACAAATTTAAAAAAAAGAAAAGAAAAAAAACACATAGGAACAAACCCAATATGCAAATAGGTAGAAACACATTTTTTAGGATTTGATGGGATAAAAGAGGTGGAAGGATACATTAAAGAAACACAGCAATTCCAATGTTTTTTCATTAAAATATTACTTTACATTTGCAATAGAAACTGCTTTTGTTAAAAGTAAAGTGGAATGCATCTAATGACAAAGGCACTAGCAATTTGAAAGATGTTACTGTGTGCTGAACTGGAGGATAAGGACCTAGTCTATGTTCCTTTGGAATGTGCAGCCCAATGACTTCCAGATATGGTGTGTTCTCCAAGGCCCATCCCTGAATTTTTAGACACACCCAGGAAGGGACAGGGCAAGAGTAGAACTACCATGGCACCTGAACACAGCTCCGCTGCTGCCTTTCTTACTGTGTTTGTACTTAGAGTTTCCCCAGCGGACGATGGCTAGTTTGAGGCTGGATGAGTGAGGGGTCTGCTTAAGCCAGTGCACAGAATGACAGCAGACTCAATCACTAAAATGGTAATTTTACAGTCAAAGGAATATGGAAACATTTGAGAAAAATGCTTCTTTTTATAAAGTTTGGGTCTCCATACTACAGAGCTTCGTTCATTCTGGATCTACAAATTCGTTCTTTTTGTAAGGAAACAGAAAACACTGTTTTTTCCAGCATCTGCACTAATGTTAGTTTTGTAAGAAACAGTGATTTGCACAAGGAAATATTTCAGACTATGATCAGTAAGTCTGCACAACTCCTGTTCAAAGGCCATGAAAATACGCCCAGTAACTGAGCCACTGTAGGAGAGGGACAAGATACTTGGGATCTTACCCTGTTGCTTTCACTTTGGGAACGGTCATTTTTTGCCTTGGCTGTCTTTTCTGCAAGTTTCTTCTGCCTTTGAGGGCCTCTTCCAAAGAAAATGTAGTTGACAAAGGCGTACTCCAGAAGGGCCAGGAACACAAAGACGAAGCAGCCCATAAGGTACATGTCAATGGCTTTGACGTAGGGGATTTTGGGCAGAGTCTCCCGAAGGTGTGTGTTGATGGTTGTCATTGTCAGCACAGTTGTGATCCCTGGGAAAGAAAGGGAGCGGTGAGTGGCAGCAGCTGCGTGGCTCTTGCCTTCCTTTTTCACGTTCCTCTTATAATTTCCAAAACAGCTTGAAACACTCAGACATGAGGGATTGAGTGTGCAGTGTGCCACACACAGTAAGCTGGCACCTCTGCTCTAGGGAAGTGAATTGTTTGGGGGTGTGGCTTCTTACCACACTGGGCCAATATTGACAGTAGAGGAAGAGATATGCAAGGGAACAAAGAAGAATGTGCTTTTTATGTAGAGTGGAAGAAATGAAAACAAATCCAGAATTCAACAAAGAACCAAGTGTTGGGGTGAGAAACCTCGGAAGAACAAGAATGAATTTGAAGTTCTCCAAGGGTAGGGAGAAAAGGCTAAGGGCGTGTGCTCAGTGAAACCACTCCTCAGAAGAAAGTAATTCTTTCTACAGTGCTTATGGAAAGTGAGAGGAATAAGGCATTTTTTGTTTTGTTTTTGCTTTTTTTTTAATTACTAAGGATGAGATCAAGTCCTGCCTTAAAAAGAAATAGTTGAGTGAAGCTCTTGAAGGCAGTTATCTGACAAAGAAATTTCCCTGCTTCACTGAGACAAACTGTACATAATCTAGAAAAACCACTCAGGAAATGTTTGTTCTAGTCAAAGGTTAATGATCTTTTCACATCATAGAATCTCATCAGGTCTGGGACAACTGATCAAATCCTTCTGTTATCTCATTTAATTCTGTACATATTATTGTATGAATGATTGCACTGTCTTCTTCAGTTTAAGACTAAACTGAGTCTTTATAACCAAGGAAGAACCATCTTTTGTGATTCTCCGTCTAACATAGCAACAGTTCTCGCTATACAAAAGTTCCAAACGGGATAATCTGAGGCCACTGAGACCAGGGGACATAATGGTTAGCAACTTGACCAGAATTTCTTGAACTGAATTAAGCCACATCTGCAAGAAAAGGCATGTATCCCTCACTTCCTGATGGGACAGTAACTACTCTAGTTGCCATGCTCATGTATAGATTATTATTTTGAAATTTAAACAAGTTACAAAGCTTGTAACAAAGTAACAAGCTGCAAAGGGTCAACTCTTTCTACTTGGGCAACTGAAGTTAATATGATTATTAATTTGTCTTCCAAGACAGACTAGACAGAATAGCTTTCTTTGCATTGTTATGTCAGACCTTCCCCAAAATGAAACTTTCAAAGGAAAAGCTGAACCATAATCTTTCACCTCCAGTAATCCAAAAAAATGAATGGAAGAACTAAGGCCAGGAGGTGGTGTAAGTCTGACAAGTCATCACTCTCAGGATACAGGCTCTGCGACAGAGCTCAGGCAACTCTAAGCATATCCCTTATCCACATCTCCAGTGGATGGTGTGGACTTGCTAAGCATCTTAGTCTGATTCTCTCTGGATTCCCTTCCCATCCTCAGAGACGTACATCCTCACGCTCAGTGTCCCATGGATGCACCTCGAGACTTCAGAACTCAGCTCACCAGGGGTGAGCTGCAGAGCAAGGAAGGCAGCTTACTCTTCCGCAACACATGCTCTCCCTTCTCTGATCTCTGATCTGCTCCTAATAGCAGAGAAGGGAATTGAAGAACCAAGAAACTGTTTTTATGTATCACTACAAACTGTGATTGCTTATGGAGTATATGGAAGTCTAAGACGTCAGAATACTTTTAGCATTCTTCTCTAACACCACATTCATGTGCACCTGGGAACTTTTTCAAATTTGAAAATGCAATAGGATAATTGCAGTTTACAAATAAATGTGCAAACAAATAAATGTGCAAACATCATGCAAATGCTACAAAGTCGTTCCTTCTCATCATTATTCAAAAATTTTGTAATGTTGCTGCTATTACTTATTTTTCACCTTTCAAAATCGATTTGGGAAGCCTGAATGCTTTGCTCTCTAGCTGTTGCTCTGTTTCTCCAGCTGACTGTTTGGAATGGACATGTCTACACAAGCCTCAGTAGATGTTCCCAGGAAACAGGATGGAAAAACAAAAGGAAGGGATGATGAGCACAACTCACAGGTGCTCAACCTAGTCTAGAAGGTCCTGAGGACATGCGTGAGGACTCTGGCTCCAGGCCTACCACACAGGATAACGGAGTCCCTTAACAATAGGCCTTTTCAGTGAGGGCTTGCTGTGGTTTGGATATGGTTTGAGGTATCGCCCCAAAGTTTCATGTGCTTGAAGCTTGGCAGCCAGTGTGGTGATGTGAACAGTGGTAGATGCTTTAAGAGATGGACCTGATGGAGGTCACTGGGGATGCTGCATTTGGAAAAATTTAAGCCAGATTTTGTGGAACCATCATGAGTTCTGGTAAGAGGGTTGTTATAGAAAGGCAAGAGCTCCTCCCTGCTCCCTGGCTTTCTGTCTTACATTGTAATTTTAATATCTCTCTCTCCTTCTCTCTCCTCTCCTCTCCTCTCCTCTCCTCTCCTCTCCTCTCCTCTCCACTCCTCTCCTCTCCTCCCTTCTCCTCTCCTCTCCTCTCCTCTCCTCTCCTCTCCTCTCCTCTCCTCTCCTCTCCTCTCCTCTCCTTCTCTCTCCTCTCCTCTCCTCTCCTCTCCTCTGCTCTTCTCTCTACTCCTCTCCTCTCCTCTCCTCCCTTCTCCTCTCCTCTCCTCTCCTCCCTTCTCCTCTCCTCTCCTCTCCTCTCCTCTCCTCTCCTCTCCTCTCCTCTCCTCTCCTCTCCTCTCCTCTCTTCTCTCTCTCTCCCTCCCTCCCTCCCTCGCTCCCTCCCTCTCTCTCTCTCTTTCTCTCCCATTCCCACATACACTCCCACCATAGTGCTATCTACTATGAGGCACCAAGGAGGCCCTCGTCAGTGCTAAGCAGATGTCAGTATCATGTTGTTGAACCATCACAACCATGAGACAAATAAGCTTCTTTTCTTTATATACTACTCAGCCTCAGGTATTGTTTTTTACAACAATGGCAAACAGACTGATACAATGTTCCAGCTTTCCAGTTTGGGTTCACATGAGCTTTCAGCTTAAAAAGCCAATGCATTTACTGTCATTTTGCCTCATATATAGGAGACTATGGACAGTAGTGCATTGTGATGGCCCATAGACAGGACAGTACAGCCACATGGCTTGTGACCAAATCCCATCTCAGGTGTGGTGAGTCCTCAAGCCATCTACAGCTCATAGGAATTCTAAATGCAATGTCTAAATAGCACTGGTGATGGTGATGTGCCAATAAGTAGTTTACTGGTATTGTTAAAACTGACAACATCAAATAATCATATTACCATCATCATTTCATAAAAGTAATTCCTCAGTAGCCTCTAGGTTTCCTGGCTTGAACTGAACTTTTGCTCTCTATGCTGACAGCATCCAACTACAGTAGAGAAGATGGCCACATGGTGGTAGCTTTCACCTTTTTTGTATAGTCACCAGCTAGTATGTCTTTTTACTAATTGTTAGCCTCAACTTATTTCTCAATTAGATTATATCAGTGAAATACCGCATTTGAAAAATTGCATTTATAAACATGACTTTGCAATAAAAATTCTTATTTGCACCAGGGGTGGGGAAGTTTTTTCCTACCAAGCGCCTTTTGGGTATTTATAACATCATTCATAGGCTATGCAAACTTTCTAACCTAAAAGCTAGCCTGCTATAGACTTACTGAATTTCATGTTCTGCCTATGGTTGCCTTGGCAGGGCCACAACACATGATTTCATCAGCCTAATGTGGCCTGTGGGCCAGATGTTACCCTACTCCTGAATCAAAATATTTTCCTTTTCTTCCTTCTGATCTAAATTATATTAGGACATATTTCTATTTTTAAGATTATTGATACTGTTATTCACTGATCACTGAATTACAGGATTTTGAGAAAGATCACCTTCTGTCCTCAGTCAACCCTGGAGTACCCAATGTCCGAGTGAGACTATTCCTTGGAGGATGTGGCTACGTGTCCCTCTGTCTTGCAGACACTGTGCCTTTCTGGCCTCTTTAAGAGACCAGGTGTATTTATTGCAGTGCAGCCTTTGGGAAGAACACAAACAGCACTCTCAGTGTTTCAGAGATTTGATACCAGAGAAGAGGCCTGCAGATGGGCTGGTATAGGGGTATTTCTCCAGGCAAAGCCCTCCAAACCATGGCCATATCCTTGTACAGAACCACAGAGCACGGGAGCAGCATACATGTTCTGAGGGATCCCTCAACAACAATAATTTAAAATTGTATCTACTTTATTCTTCTAATCTGTGGCTTTTACAACATAGTAAATCAAATTGCTCTTCCATAGAGTATGTCTAACACTTTAGGAATTATAGTAATCTGCTCTTCTCCAAGACTCCCAGTGGATGCCTGGAACTGTAGAGACTATTGAATTCTATTTTTTTCTATACCAGTACATACATCCTTGGATAATGTTTAGTTTATAAATTAGGTATTGTAAAATATTAACAACAATAAAAATAGAAGCATTATAACAACATGCTATAATAAAAGATATTGAAAAATTAAGATTTTTTTTTATTTCTGCAATTTTTCATGTACTTGCCAGAAGTGATACTATGGATCAGGGGACTATTGTACCTGTAGCAGTTAAGTGAGAAGATCGTGGAGTTAGACTAAATGGATTGAAATGTTTTTCTGACACTTTGTACCATTAACCTAGTTCTGCTGAACCTCATTTCCGCGCTCTGCAGAATGGGAGCAGGGACACTGCCTATTCTTCCATGGGTATTCTGCAGAATAAATAGCTCTATTCATGGCCCTGCCAGGGAATGGGACATCTCAGCAGCTGATAGGTTTCAGCCTTTATTATTATTGTTGTTATTGTGATGATGATGTTGCCAAGTGTTCCTGACCCAGCAGCATGCTGTTTTTAACCTGCTGGAGTTTACTGTGACATTTCTTAACACCTGCAGACACAGACTCAGACACAAGCTTTTTAAAGGCAGGAGGGTCAGAGAAAAGAGTGCACTGCTGCCCAGTCCAAGAGCTGGACCTGTGGGACTACTGTGTCCAGACCCCACAGTTCCTAAAGCCACAGTTGCCTTTCAGCCCTCCGGCCTCAGGTTCACCTGCTAAATATCTACACACTTTGCCTCTCACACCTGCCTCCCAGACATCCCAACCCACCAGAGCCATTCCAGCAAAGCCACAGGGGGCAGAGTTTGGTTTAAAATAATAAAGCTGTTTCTTTGTTATTGAGAGAAAGTGGATTATACTGTCATACACTGCAAAGAGATTGGCTTGAATATAACCCACTTCAGATACACTTAATTTCATGTTGTGGAAAACAATCATTTCAAAATTTAAAAACTAAAAAAATTTCTTTTTTTTTATTAACTGAAAAATGTGGATATTCACATTTTCAGTGCATCTTACCTCTTTTGATGTCATATAATTGTGTTATTTTGGTACTCTCATTCTAATTATCACAATAACGACCAATTCTCTGATGAACTCTCATTGAGCAGCTCATGAAGTTTGAGCTTCAGGTTTCCACTTTTACAGCCCCTTCCAGGCCTGGGAAAGGGTCCCAATAATTTTGTATTTGTATATTTTATATTCCTTTTATTAGAGGAGAGTATTGAAAATTGTGTAATGGGATATTTTCGCAAATTTTGGATTTATTCCTCCAAATTCATCATATCTCCACATTTTACAGGTGAAAAAAAGAGAGAACAACTTAAGAGTAATCTAGTACCATTTCACAAAAAAAAGAAAAATGCACATGAAGACTGAGATTACATGGCAACCTTGGCAGTCTACGGAGAAATCCTACAGCCTTATTTAGAGAATTTTGCTTACCATACCCATTAGAAATGCAAAACAAAGTGCAGAGTTCTTCACAGAGTTCTTTTTTGCTTCACCGAATACCTTCAGTATACTTATCTGGTTTGTTTCAAGTCACAGTTACGTGTATTCCCCGAGAAGAAATCTAATCTTGAACACAATTGTGCAAGTAACATATTTGTGGGTTTAACTCAACATAGCTTAAAAAAATATTAGTTAACTTAAAGACCTGGGAAAGTTGGTATATAGAAAGAGGAAGACGGCGCCGCGGCTCACTAGGCTAATCCTCCGCCTTGCGGCGCCGGCACACCGGGTTCTAGTCCCGGTTGGGGCGCCGGATTCTGTCCCAGTTGCCCCTCTTCCAGGCCAGCTCTCTGCTGTGGCCACGGAGTGCAGTGGAGGATGGCCCAGGTGCTTGGGCCCTGCACCCCATGGGAGACCAGGAAAAGCACCTGGCTCCTGGCTCCTGCCATCGGATCAGCGTGGTGCGCCGGCCGCAGCGCGCCGGCCGCGGCGGCCATTGGAGGGTGAACCAAGGCAAAAGGAAGACCTTTCTCTCTGTCTCTCTCTCTGACTGTCCACTCTGCCTGTCAAAAAAAAAAAAAAAAAAAAAAAAAAAAAAAAAAAAGAGGAAGAAATCAGGAGTTAGCTGGAACCTAGAATTCTTATGTTTTTCTGTAACCTTTGTTATCAGTAAACGTGTTGATAATTATTTTCCATCAATTTTTTAAAAATCTATTGTTGACAATTACATTTGCAGCAATTAAACTCAACTTTGACCCAAGAAAAGAGGGACTAAAGATTTCTCATCAGCTCTGCAATTACCTAAAATGATTATTTTGTCCATACATTTTCATAATAATTAGCTGAGAAGTAAACAAGCTTTCTGAAAACATAGGCCTTCCCTTAGTACACAAAAATATTAAAAATAATATTGGAACCTATAGTATACATTGTACATGAGCTGGTAATCCAGTTGTCAAATAACCAGTGGCCAGGAAAGATTACTAGAACTCTTGGGAATCACTCAGAATCTAATTGCATATTTTAATGCTCATTAAATTGTGTAATTCCAATTACATGCCGCAATATTTGACTATTTTTCTGACTTAAAAAAGAAGAATGCACAATTAATCAAGTCTTCTTTCTGGGCCATGGAATAATTTTGAACAGGAGATGTTAATCCTTGCTTCAAAATTAGTGTCAAAATAGTTTTATTATGCAAATATTCTGCAAGCATATTTTCCCTTTCGTGGGCATGGAAATTCACATTGGAGCCTTATAATTAAATTAACACATCAAGGGAATCATGCATGAAATTAATGTTTCAAGATAAAAAGTGACTGCATGGGCAAGACTGGTGTCAGGATGTCAAAAATTACTGTTGAACTCTAACCTTTAAAGCCCCTTAACACTGTAATGATATGGTTACTTTACATTTTGGAGATCACTCAAAAATAGCACATACCGAGGGCAACTCTAGCAGCAGATGCATCATAATTGATCCAGAAAGATACCCACGAGAGAATCGTAATCAGTATAGAGGGCATGTAAGTCTGTAGAATGAAATATCCAATGTTTCTCTTCAACCGAAAACTCAGTGAGAGTCGTGGATAGGCACCTGGGATAAACAAGACAAGGAATACAATGAAGAAAACATATGGCAAACAAAAGGGTTTGCTTTGACTTCCATGGGCCAACAACATGCATTTGAAAAGGCCGTGGACCACAACCATGCAATTTGCTTCTGTCTGACTAATGGTATTTACAGAAGAATTCAGAAGGTAGCATAGTTCACCAAGTACTTGGGTCCCTGCACTCGCATGGGAGACCGGGAGGAAGTACCCGGCTCCTGGCTTCAGATCTGCGCAGTGCCGGCCGTAGCAGCCATTAGGGGAGTGAACCAACGGAAGGAAGACCTTTCTCTCTGTCTCTCTCTCACTGTCTATAACTCTCTCTCTCTCTCTCTCTCTCACTGCCTAACTCTGCCTGGCCCAAAAAAAAAAAAAAAAATGCATTCACTACTTTGAAGGTTAGCAATTTTTGCAGTGCATGTAATGAGGAGAAAGCATAGAATGATTTTCATTAGAGAAACAGCTAAGTTTATGTTCTAGTATCATCAATGGAATATAGCTTCCACTCATGCAGAGTTGATGACACCTCCATTGTTTCATGTGATATTGATCCTCAGGATAACCATCAAGATGGGTCAGACCCTGATCCTAAGTCTTGCCCTCTCCTGGTCCCTAGCCCTCTGCTCCATCTGCCCACTCTGGAAGCAAAACATTGACACCCAATGTCATCCCATATTCAAAATCTATGGCTCACTGCCTCCAATAAATGTCAACATATGCACATGGGAATTTTAGTGTCTCCAAATTTTACCAAATTATTTAATTTTCCAACATATATTTACATTAAGCATACTGTTTACTCATAAAAGGGGTTCTCACTGTCTCAAAAAAATGTGCATATTTCCTGCTTCTGTTAATTCATACCCATTGTCCTTATGAAATGTCTTCCCTTATCTACACTTTTAGGCTCTGGGCAAGAGCCACAGTAAACAAGAACCCTCTCTTCTTTCTTCTTCCAATATAAACAATCACCTTCTTGAGTTATTTTCTTTCTTATCAAGAATATGATTATTAATATTTCCAACAGCATCTTCCAAAGTTGTACAGTCCCTAGGACAGTTTGTGAAATAATATATTTTTATATACTACACTCTCTAGGTAAATGTTTAAACCATCCCAGATTATGGATTGTTATGTCTACATACTGTCTAGTGAAAACAGAAGTCTTTAACATATTTGTGTGACCCTTTAGTTGAGATAAAACATTAAACCTTTAATATCTATTGAATCTGAGTTTCAAATCCCATGGAAATCTCAGTATCTTCACTTTAAATAATTAGTAAGTTCTTATCACTTATCATTTGCTTCTTCCTCATTCAGGAATACTCCACTGTATACATTATACTTGGAACAGTCTTTGTATCAGTCAGTCTGGGTTGGATTATGCTACTGTAACAAATAGCCCTCAAATCTCAGTAGTTTACAACAAAGATTTATTTTTCTCTCTTGACTATATATGTACTTAGCTACTTCTATTTTCAGCACTGCTGGATATTGTGGAACAAATGCCACATAAACTGCCATCATATTTCACAGGGCAGACCAAATCTTAGTGCCAACCCTTCTGCTATCAGAGTGGGATGTTTAGTTCTTCCCAGGGAACAGCATTCTGAATGACAATTTAATGTACCATGTGCAATGCTTTGGATATGGCTGAGTGTGTCCCCAAAGTCTCAAGTGCCAGAAACTCGATCCCTAGTGTGGTTGTGTTGAAAGGCGGTAGGACCTTTAAGTGAGGCCTCCTAGAAGATAACTGGGTCATTGAGGGCACCACACCCAGAGGTTTATGTACTTCTAATGGGTTGATGGTTAACTCCTATAAGAGCAAGTTCAAAACCCTGGAATCTCGCTGGCTTCCTGTCTTGCCATATGATCTCTTCTGCACCCATTCATGTCATTATAATGTCATTTGCCATGAGGCCCTTAAGAGAGGCTAAAATGGGGGTTCACCAAGTTTTGCACTTTCAACATCCAAAACTGTGAGCTAAATAAACCTCTTTTTGCTATAAAGTACTCGCCTCCAGCATTTTGTTGTAGCAACATAAAATGAACAAATTCACCATATTCCACAACTTCCCATGTACTTTCTAGAGCGTATCTTCAAAAAACTGTTCCCAGTTGAAACCAATATTGACACCCACACAATGAAGTGTGCCTAACACTATGATGGAATGCTTGCCCCTGCAATGTGGTGGGGGAGGGGAGAGAGAGGGGAACAGTGACATGACTGCTCTTAGAAGATCACTGGAGACCTAGAAGAAGAGGATACAACTCTGATTTCAAAAATACTTGAATCCTTGGAAATTCACCACGATACTCATTGACATAGAATTTAGAATTAATAAAATACACTTTGTGGGTGGGTGGGGGGTCAGCACTGATGGTGTAGTGAGTAAGCTTCCGATTGCAGCGCTGGCATCTCATATGGGTGCCAGCTCTAGTCCCAGCTGCTCTCCTTCTGATCCAGCTCTCTGCTAATGGAGGGGGAAAGTATCAGAAGATGGACCAGAGTGCATGGGCCCCTGAACCCACATGGGAGAACCAGAAGTTCTTGGCTCCTGGCTTCAGATCTGCCCAGCTCCGGTGGTTGTGTCCATTTGGCGAATGAACCAGTGGATGGAAGATAAGCCTCTCTCTTTCTCTTTCTCTAACTCTGTCTTTTAAATAAATAAATATTTAAAAAAGAAAAGAAAATACACATTTTCATATGTGTTTGGCATAGCAAATGCATTCTATTTGGTAAAAGTAAAATGCCACTTCAAAGTAACGAAATTTTCAGGCATTCAGCAAATGCCCCATTGTATCACAGTCCTCAAGGTGCACACGGTGAGTGGAATAAGCAACAAAGATAAATACAAGAATGAGCCAATCCATGTTAGAGAGGGAGTCATACAGAACTGTCCCAAGTCAAATAGTGTTTGTGGTACCCTAGAGATAGAAAAAAATTCCTGGGAATCTGATTTAGTGTTTTAGGGGTAGTTTCATGTATCTGAACTGAGATACTCCTGGGTGAACAAAATTCCTTTGGGCAGGAAAAAGGAGAACTTTCAAGGGAAAGCACCCAACAGAACCAAATGAGGAAATACCTCTCCAGATGTCATGAGACAAAAATTTCAGACTTTTAGAAAATATAGAATCATCTGATCCAAAACCTATTCTTCTAAGCCAAGACTTTGGTCATTTGAAGTGCATATTAAAGAGTGCCTGAAAGTCTTTCTGTAGCTCTGTTGGATACATTCCTTACACTGTCAGGATGGAATGCAATGATAAATGCTGTATCCATGGGAAAACTCCCAAGTTATCATAGCTAGTGGCCAATCATATAAGGTTCAGAAGCCATGAGTCAGCTGAACTAACATGTACCCTTCAATTCAGCAACAGAAGCTTTAAAATTACAACAGACACGCACAGAAGCCCTCACGCCTCTGTGGCCGTGCAGATGTGATCAGTTCCCCAAGTAGATGCTGAGCCAACAAAAAGAGGCACAGTCCCTGAACACAAGTGCACCGTTCCAATTCAGAGCTTCCTTGGCAAATCTAGCTAGTGAACATGCTGATCTCAACCCTTTTTCCCTCGATGCATTAAAAGTTATGCCAAAAACAAGGCCTTGGGTCTCTAATCCAGCCTAAATTCATATCATTCTCCAGGCATTAATATTTTTGAAGAAGTAATTAAAATGTGGATACAGAATTTCATGCCAATTTTGCAGAGCAAGAGCCACTCCAAAGTATCTGTAAAATAGCAAGCTGATAGGTTAGCAACTACAGCAAATCTACACCACACTGGCCACTGTGGGGTTGTCCCACCATTGCCGAAGAAGCTCTCATTTATTGCCACTTCTGAGTCCTTTATCATGGTATCTTATCCATTTATGATATCCCTTTTACTTATGACAAAGCTTAAACCAGAAATAATGTTACCAATTTTCTCATCCTCATTACTGGTAATCTTCTTATATGCTGAAAATAGAAACCCATGAAGAATAAAGGAAATATATGAAATAAAGCATGAGTAGAGCTAGAAAAAATATGAATCAGGCAATGGTCTCCTTCCAACCTCCACAGTAAAACCAGAGTATGGAGCCACATGAGAAAGCAAAGAACACATGTGTTTGAAAACTCCATGCTCAACAAAAATTTGCTATGTTCCTTTTGGAGAATCTGAGTACTCTCTCAGAACCTCTGTTTCCTCAAGTGTAAAATCAGGAAAAGAATGCAATGAGTAACAAAAGAAAAAAAAGATAAATTATAATTCATCAAATTTTAAAACTATTGTGTTGCAAAGAAACTGAAAAGACAACTCACAGAATGAAAGAAAATATTTGCAAGTCATATGTCCAATTAGGAACTAAAATATATCAAGTATCTAAAGTATATCAAGAATACTTAGAAAACAAGAAAGCCACTGTAAATAGAAGACAGATGAATGGACGAGCACAAAAAATGCTCAGCTCCATTAGTTATTAAGGGAATGCAAATCAAAATCACAGTAAGGTACCACCGCATGGGGTGAGAGTTTGTCCTACCAATTAAAATGTTTGGGACACCTGTATCTCATACTGGAGTTCCTGGGCTGCATTCCCAGATGCACTCCCACTTCCAGCCTCCTGCCTATGTGCACCTTAGGAGGCAGCAGGTGAAAGATCAGGTGGTTGGGTCCCTGCTACCCTTGTAGGAGACCTGAACTGAGTTCCTCATTTGCGGCTTCAGTCTGGCCCAGCCCATGGCCATTGCAGATACTTAGTGAACAAATAGGGATGATACTGTTCTCTCTTTCACAAATAAGTATTTTTTTTTAAACAAAATGTGAATTCATAACTACTAAAATGGCTATAATCAAAAAGACAAAAAACAAAACAAGTGTTTGCTCAGCAGTTAAGATGCCACTTGGGAGACCCTCATCCGGTAAATGAGTGCCTGAGGTCAAGTCTCAAATATACTCCTGTTTAATGCTTCTTGCTAATGCAGAACCCTGGGAGACAGAGGTG